TGAAGCCCCCCCGGCCGATTCTTCTCCCCTGAATTTGTTGTGTGGTGCTGGGACTCTCCAAAGAAGTGTGATGGAGCCACTAATATCAGGGATTGTCAGGGTGGGATTCAAATTTCTTAACAACTGATTCTGTGGGCATGGCCTAATTTGTGGGTGTGGCTTGATGGTCATGTGACTGGGCGTGGCTTGGTGGTCACGTGACTGGCTAGGCATGGCTTGTGTGTAAATATTGTAAATATTTATGTAAGTATTGAATTTTTTATTTAAAAAAAAGAGCAACTTTTACCCAAAATCAGGCAAAGCAGGTGGGCAGATTGAGTTGCTCACAGAATCACAGATTCACTCAGAGATCGATCTTTCTGCAATCTGCTGCCTGAGTCTGTCACGTACCATTTGCTTGCAAGCGAACTCATAAAATTTGCTAGCAAGCAAGCTCACAAAATTAACTCACAACACACCATGTATGTAAATATTGAATTTTTTTATTAAAAAAAAGAGCAATTTTACCCAAAATCAGGCAAAGCAGGCAGAAAGATTGCTCACAGAATCACGGATTCACTCAGAGATTCACCTTTCTGCAATCTGCTGCCTGAGTCGGTCACATAAAATTTGCTAGCAAGCAAACTCGAAAGCTGGAAGCTGGAAAACCTTGAGATAAAGCACAGACTAGAGCTGGGGCAGGCAGGTGAGCCCAACAGCTGATTGTCAGAGTGAACCAGTTTGCCCAAACCAGGCCGAACCGGTAGAATCCCACCCTTGGATCCAACTCCCACGCTGTTTCCCCCCAGTTCAGAAACTGGGATTGACTCAGGAAGTGAGTTTAAGGTTTGACAATGGAAAGGAAAACCGCCAACTCTTTGGCCTGGCCATGTCATGCATGATAAGTGGAAGAGGGCCTCTACTACAGGGTTTCTCAACCTTCTCAACATGGACAACTCCCATAATTTCCCATCCAGCACAGTTGAGAAACTATGGAGACCTTGATGTTCTCCAAGTCCTTGGTTGTTCTCTTGGAGACATTTTGTGACCCAACTAGGTAACATCATCAGTGTATATCCCACTCCTTTCAAGCACTGATGATGTTACCTAGTTGGACCATGAAATGTCTGTAAGGAAAACCACCAAGCTCAGAGAGCACCAAGGACCCCACAATTGTTCTCCTCCTCCTCCTCTTCTTCCTCCTCCTCCTCCTCCTCCTCCTCCTCCTCCTCCTCCTCCTCCTCCTC